TACAATCTGACATAAATTTATTTATTTATTTATTCTATTTATATTTTGAGACAGAGTCTCTCTCTGTCACCCAGGCTGGAGTGCAATGGCGCGATCTTGGCTCACTGCAAGCTCCACCTCCCGGGTTCACGCCATTCTCCTGCCTCAGCCTCCCTAGTAGCTGGGACTACAGGTGCCTGCCACCACACCCAGCTAATTTTTTTGTATTTTTAGTAGAGATGGGGTTTCACCATGTTAGCCAGGATGGTCTCGATCTCCTGACCACTTAGTGATCCACCCTCCTCAGCCTCCCAAAGTACTGGGATTACAGGTGTGAGCTACCTCGCCTGGCCCAGTCTGACATAAATTTATTATCTGAAATGATAAGAAGCAAATTATATACTGAGAACAACAGCAATATTTAATGACTTCTGTCATGATTATTTGAATCGGGTTTTACAGTATTCATAGATACATGCCATTAAACTTTAGGAAAAAATTTTCAGTGAAAGAAATAGGTTTGTGCTATTTTTAATTCCATGTTACAAAAGCAAAACTAGAGTGATTTGCTCAAAACTACATGTTCTTTAGAAAGTGGTAGAGCTAAGATATATAAAAGTTTATCTTTTGAATGAAAATTCTGTGCTTTTGATATCACACAACTGATCAAATAACGACATGGAGATCTTAGAAACAGTTTATCAAGCTTGAGTACTTGCTACACACTAGTTTTCTTTCTTTAGTGCCTGAGGGACAATAAAATAATTGAAAAAAAATAGGTTAATAAGTATAGGCAGCTGGTTTTGAGGTAAAGACAATTTGCTTTTTTTAAAGCATTTGCATAGCATCTAGGGGAGAATCCATTAAACGTCAATAAAAGCAGCATATCCACTTTAGAGTGCTTTACAGATGCAGGAGATGTGGAATTTAAAGTATCGTTTTGGCACTGTCTAGGAGACAATTCATGGTTAAAGCTTGTAAGGGGCAGAACTAACATTTCAGTACAGATTTTCCTTACTTCAGGGAGATTGCTTAAGTGCACCATTGTTGTCTATGCTCTAAAAGAACACGAAAAAATAAAGAAAAAGAAAAGAAAAGAAAGAAAGCCTTATAAGGGAGGGAGGCTCAGCTCATAGCAAGCTTGTATCAATGCACTGATACAGATAAAATCTTGAGATTTCAGCTTTTATATCGTGATCTTCATCAGTTCTTTTTCAGATCTATGGCAGTGAGATTTAGACTTATATCCCATGGTATTAAATTTAGTACTGTTCATTGAACAACATCTTTATGAGGCACTGTAGCAGGCACTGATGTAGCTAGAGAGAATAAGTCTCCCCTCTAAGGAAGTCTATAATCTTATCGAGGCTTAAAAATGGACACACATAAATTTACTGTAATGAAAAATGTATCAAAGTACATTGTTCTGTTTTAGTCTAAAGAAGCAAGAAAGAGATGACAATTTATGAAAGATATCAGAATGGGTTTATGGAGAAAATAATAATCCTACAGGTTGACATAGAAGGCTTGTTAAGGCACAGACATAGAGAAGACAACAAGAATATTCCAAGTACTAGATTAATTGTAAGTAATGTTATCACTGTGGGACAGTGTAGTGGGTTAGAGAAAACTTTGTCTTTTTTGTAAGTTTTAACTGATAATCTATGTTGAGGGTCGTATCATCAGAGTCCCCTTAAGTTTAGATATATTAATTCAACCAATCATTATTGAACACCCACTAAATGCCAAGTATTGTCTTAAACAGGAATGACTAAGACAGACATGTTTTCTGCTGTGAAGCTTAGATTCTATGGGGGAAAGACACAGTAAACACAAATCATTAAAGAATTAAGTAGTTTCAACTGTGGTAAGTTCTTTCAGGAAATTAAAGATGATACTTAAATATGAAGGGAAACCTGGTACCCTCTAAGGAGTCAATAAAGGCTCATCTGAATAAGTGTCATTCAAGCTGAGACTTGAAAGATATGTGGGCATTAATTAGATAAAAAGTTTGGACAATGGGTGAAGGGAAGTGGGACACAGGGATCGTTCTGGTCACATTCAAAAGTCCTGAAATAAGCAGAAATAAGCTTGCTTAGTTCAAGGATATGAAAGAAAGTCAATTTGGCTGGTGTGCGGTAGTGACAGGGAAGGTGAAGAAGGAATGAAGTTGAGCCAGATTGGGGAAAGTTTATGCAGGGCCTGTGGCCTAGTGAAAGCATTTTGACATTTAAAAGCAATGGAAAGTCGCTGAGTGATTTCTAAAAAGGATTCTAGATCAGTTTAGGAAAGAGATAGGGGCCAGATAAATAGACTGCCCTTGTTGGTATAGGGCCAGGGAACCACTTCTTCATAGGTGTTAACTTCCGTTTTACGGAAGCTCAACTACAAGAACTCCTATCTCTCCATGTACTCAGAACCAGGGAATGGAGGCATGGTTGTTAAATGCGAGAAGAAACTCGGCATGCTTGGCCCTTGTCCATCCTTGGAAGTCAGTCTGTGCTTTCAGTCACTTTCCCCTCTACTAATCCTTGTGCTGAGACAGTTTCTGCTGCAGAGGGTGAGGATTTGAGAATTGTGGCTTTTGGAAAAAGCGGTATCAAGATCCAGCTTTTTTGTAATATATATATGTTGGCTGGGAACATTGAAAAATGAAACAAGAATAATTAAGGGGAGCAAAATATACATAGTGAGTGATGAAGCATCTGGTGTTGCCAGAGTATACGGCTTAGGGCTTTAAATTTTATATGCAGGCCGGATGTTTTGATGTTGGTGGCTTTTAAAAGGTTATATGGATCCGCTTTAAACTGCCGCAGCCTGAACGAAAGCTTAAAACTTTGGGTCAAAGGTGTTTTTACTTAAGTGAGTGACCTCAGACTATAATAGGTTTGTCACACCCAAGTGGGATCTTTCCACAGAGACAGCAACCTGAGTACACAAGGGCCTCAAGAAAGGCTTTCAGACCACAGCAAAGATACTTGGGCTTGCCAAAAGTGCTCAGGTGGTGAAGGCGCATAAAGGAGGTTCAATAAAGGTCTGAACACTTTTTAGATTGTGTCAAAGGACTTCAGCCAAACAGATTTTGGCAAACTGTTGATGGTTTTAGCAATTAGCAGGCAATTTCAGTGTGCGGGCTGGTGTAGAGCATCATTACAGTCACCGTAAGGTTTGGCACTGCGGGCTAGAATGAGTGTGCTGAGACTACTAGCTAGTTTTGACCTGTTTTCTCTTCTTCTAGGTTGCATCTAGATCCTATCTCCAGTCTCTCTTTCAGTTAGCTAGGTCCACATGATTGAGTTTTCGCTGATAGAATATGAGTGGTAATGGTACCATTTTCAGCCCTGTCTCATATAAACCTTCCTGGTGAACTTCCTCTCTGCTTTAGTCCTCTCCATTAGCTTAGTCAGATGAACAAGGTGACCTTGGAGGCCACCTGTGGGAGATGGTGGAACTAAGGAGAAAATTAAGAAGTATCAAACATAGTAGATCTTGCTTTCCCGTAAAGAGTAAATGCTTAGGATTTAATTTATCATCTTGCTGGTAGGTTTCTCTCAGTTGAGATTAAGTCCATTGGTTATGGATTATGGATGGATTAGACTGCATCCTAATGACACTAGAAACAAGCAGAATGTCCCCTTCTATGCTTTCCTTTGCTCAAATAATGTAAAAGAGTTTTGCTGTGTTTTTTAATATATCATTGAGTACTAAGTTTCTAATTTTACATAAGAGAAAAGCTATTCTAGGAGCTGGGGACTGTACTGTCTGAAAAAAATTAACTGACTTGAGTCCAGTGCTGTAATAATCTTGGATGTTTGGATGCCATTACTGTGAGATAAAAATATTAAACCCACAATAAGATACTGCTGCCCACCTACAATTGGATAAAATTAAAAAGACAATGAATAACCAAAATTCTCAGTATTACCATAAGAGTATAAAATGATACATCTATTTTATAGTTTATTGTAAAATTAAATATGCTTCTACCATATACCCAGGAATTCTACTCCTAAGTATTCATCCAAGAAAAATGAAAAATTACCCACTAGAATCCTTGTACAATACTGCCATATATATATATGTGTATGCAAGTGTGGGGGTGTGTGTGTGTATATATATATATGTAGGCTCTGAACCAACAGAAAGTATTTATATCCAAAGTTCATTATGTATATATCATAAACTCCAAGAAGCTGGAAACAGTTCAGAATCCATCAACAGGAGAATTAATTAAAAAAAAAAAATTACACCGTGGTATATTTATGCAGTAGAATATCACTCTGTAATAAAAAGGAATGAACTATTGATACATATAACAACATAAATGAGTACACACTTTATGATTCTGTGTACACATCTTTCTAGATCAGGCAAAATTGATGTTTGGTAAGAGAAATCAGAACAATGGCCACTTCTTCATGAACAGGAATTTCTTGGCAAGCAGCTCAAGGGAATTTTCTGCAGTGACAGAAATATTCTACTTCTTAATGCAAGTGTGGGTGTATATATTTGTCAAAACTGCTTGAATTATACACTTAAGATCTGCATAAGACACTATTTGTAAATCACCCCTCAATGGAAACATAAATAATACATTATCTCTACATTAAAAAATGAGGCATAAAATTCTGATATATGGAAGAAAGAATCATATATGAAAGAACCATATCCATGCCACCCTAGGCTTGAACTTTTAAAGGAGCCTGAAGTCTACCGAGGCATTGAGAACATCTCCAACCACAACCACGAAGAGTAGGACATACAGAGATGAATTTTTGACTCTTTTTTTCTGTGAACTTTTAATTCATGTGGAATTTGATTTTGATTTTAATTCTATTGAAATTTTATTGAATCTTCAACCTCTCTCTGGTAATTTTATACTATCAGGGAGCTTATAGTCACATTTCGATTATCTATCTATTGGGGTTAAATTTTTTACGGGATCATCTTTATTTTGTTTTTATCATATGGGTATCCTAATGTGGTTCTTTAATTTTATTGGCGAATCCCCAACATGTTAGGTTGCACAACATGGCTGGACATACTTTGGGATGTAAAAAGGAATACAGAGCAAAATTTTTGCTGTTGGTACAGAGGCTTCAGATCAAATTGACACTGCCCACTGGGATCCCAAGAGGATACTCAAAATGGAGAGACTTGCCATGGTCCCCATTTGTGGTAAGTGGGCAGGGAGTTGTGAGGGCCGTTTAGCTGATCCATTTGCTCCCCATATAAAGCTGAGTCCTCCTTCTTAACTGTAGCGATATAAAAGTTATTTTATTCTCTATCTGCAGACTTGTCTTACATCTCAATTAAGAATTTGGGTAAGATGGAGAGATAGCTGTGTCTTTAGAACTGATATTTAAAATCAGTAGCATTTCAATTATCCACAGAGAGAATGCACAAAGAAATACAAAGAGGACTGAAAAAGAATTATTAAGGTATATTATTTATAAAGGATATCAAAGAATAAGAAGAGTCAGTGAATTAAATAGAGAATGAGTGACTGAGAGGTAGGAGAAGCTACAGAAGGAAAGAAACAGCCAATGAGAAGCTTTAAGAAGATCCAGTCAGTCAGGTTCAGTGATACACAGCTCTAAGAGGAGGACAAATCAGAAAGGCAATTTTGCATTCCAATATCCATTCAATTGCAAAATACATGGCAATCTCCAAAAAGCCTTGCAATACACTCTCATTGTTCATTGCTAGCATGTAATCATTATTGAAATGAACATGAGTTCCTGAAGGGATGAGATTGTGTACTGTTCATTTTGTGTGCCTAGTCTCCATTGGCATTTAGTTACGTATTTGTGCAATAGATGCTCTTACACTCCCTCTCCTCAATCTTGAGTAAATATTTTTATTGTGTTTGTTTTACAGGTAAAGAAGTAAAATACTTGGCCAGAATCACCAATTGCAGTTAGTGACTGAGCCAGACTCCTGATAATTGGTACTGCACTGTTTAATAGCAGTAAAACATTCAAATCTCACCTCTCTCACCTCCTTTACATCTTTGTTCAAATGTTAATTTCTCAGTTAGGCGAACCCTGAGGGTTTCATTTAAAATAACACTTCCTTCTCCAACCATTCACCCTGTTCTGTGGCTCTTCACCGCATTTACTCCTTTCTTTTCTTTTCTTTTCTTTTCTTTTTTTTTTTAAGTATACTTTAAGTTCTGCCATACATGTGTAGAATGTGCAGTTTTGTTACATACGTTATACAATTTCTACGTACATTATACAATTTCTAGTATGTTACACAATTTCTAGTATGTTACACAATTAACTTATTTGTTGTGTTTCTAACTTACCCCTTGATCCAGAATGGAAGCTAGAGTAGAAATATTTTCGTCAGCTTTCTTTTCTTTTCTTTTCTCTTTTCTTTTCTATTTTTTTTTTCTTTCCTTTTTTTTTTTTTTTTTTTTTTTTTTTTTTTTTTTTTTTTTTTTTTGAGACAGAGTCTAGCTCTGTCACACAGGCTGGGGTGCAGTGGCCAATCTCGGCTCACTGCAGCCTCCACCTCCCAAGTTCAAGAAGTTCTCCTGGCTCAGCCTCCGCCTCCCGAGTAACTGGGATTACAGGCACTCGCCACCTTGCTCAACTAATTTTTGTGTTTTTAGTAGAGATGGGGTTTCGCCATGTTTGCCAGACGGGTCTTGAACTCCTGACCTCAGGCGATCTGCCTGCCTCGGCCTCCCAAAGTGTTGGTATTACAGGTGTGAGCCACCGCGCTCAGCCATTTTTGTCAGTTTTCTTCACACATATACAGTCCAGATGTTTTCAAGGGTGACTGGCACTAAGTGGATATTTTAAAATTATATTTATTGAATTAATTAAAAGGTACAGCTATTTGGAAGCATAAGAAAATGAAACAACACTTTTATAGTCACAGAATTTAGTTGGATTTTAGAAACTATTAAATCGTAGCTTTTTCACTTTTCATCATTTTAAAATTCCTGAAGCTAATCAATGAGCAAAACATTAGTAGTACTGCTACTTTATGTAACTTATGTAGCACACTGAGCTATTTGGCAAAAAATGACTCTAAAACATAATATATGTTAACATATGTAAAGTGGATAGTGACTGATTTTCAAAACATTATTCATACATGTGTGACTTTAATTAGGAAGCTATAATAGATACACTATGAATTTTCATGAAGAAAAAAACCAGCATCTGGACTTGAGATTCTACACAAAGAAAAAGCTGGATTTCTTCCTTTTTTCCAGAGTATATAGAACCTACATTTCCTCCAGTTAGAATTTTCTCAGAAATAGCAAAATAAAACTCTAGTAAAATCAATAAGCTTTCACTGCCAGTTTTAACAATGGTAATTCAAAGCTTATAAAAAAGGACCATGATTCCACATTTTTAATTTCCTCACAGAACTATAACCTGAAAATATTTTATATACGTTACTATTTTGCACTTGCAGTTTTTAAAGATACTAACTTGTTAGAAGTGTATTTATCTGAAGATGTTCATCTTTTTTGCTGTTTCTTTTAAATTTTTTCAGCTGTAAACCTTCTGAGATTTGAGTTTTTTAATACTGTCAAAAAACACTTCAAGAAACATTATTCTCCTAAATTTATAGGAAATATTTCAAGAGATCATATTAGATAATTTTGTATTAGATATTCATAAAGAATTTTCTTTCATAAAATAAACAGATTTTGCCATTTTATAAGTGCATAGAAAAGCAGTAACTGTTTTTAATTTACCAACATTTCTTTTTGGCTGCTAGAACACTTATATCTGACATAATAAAATAATCACTAAGTGTCTTGTAATTGTTTCTTTAATGTATCACCTCTCCCAGAACTTTGAAATCACCTGGAAGACAATAAACTGCTGAAATAATTTTTCTTTCCTTGTTCTATTATTAAACATAAAGTAAACATTCAAAAATATTTGTTTCATTCAACAATTGGAAATTAATTTGAATACTACCCACTCAATGCAAATAGCTATACATATTCAAAAATTATGTGTCATATCATCCTTTAAGCCAGGTAAATAAGTAATTGTTCAAAGAAATTAAAAAGCTGTATTTTTCCTTTATTGTTAAATATTAATTCAATCTTGCTTCCTTGCAAAATTACTAAATGAATATATATTGCTTTGATCATTCAAAGTTATGTATATATACACATGCATATACACACATACATGGCTATTCAGCTATTTGCTATGCACAGTGTTAGATCCCTTGCATGTGTTTTCTTTCTTTCCTCCCAACATCCCTTAAGAGCATAATTGTCTTCACATTACAGATGAGAGAACTGAAGATTAGAGAAGCACAATTAATTGTCTAAGGTTTTACTGTGAGTAACAATCAAAGTTGAGATTTAAATGCAAATATTTAGAATGTAAATTTAATTATATTTCCAAAATATTACAGTTAATTCTTCACAGGCATATTCTATCTTCAAACAAATGGGTATTACTTATATATATTAAGTACATATATATACTGAAGCATATTCTAAGAGATAGAGTAGCCTGTAAACACAGATAGTCAACTGTAAATGGATATACAGTAAGGCATACACAGGTACAGGACTGCCTTTCTTGACTTGACATTGTGTATATGCACCAAGTAAAAGAGAGCTGCATTTCAGCCCTTTTCAATGTGGCTCTTATTTGAGTTAGAAAAATAGTGATTATTTTTTGTGAGTGACAAGAAGGATCAGATAATCTTAATCCATCATCTCCTTTGCATTCACTCTGAATCATTTTTCTATCTTGACCTGCAAATTAGTAATGGTTTTTATTACTTAACAATGCAAATAATTATCTCATCATCCAAGTTTAACTCCATACTATTTAACGTAATGGATATTTGCCATTTGTTAGGCATATTGTAGATATGCAGATATTTACTGAGTTTAGACTGTATGATGGATTTTCTCTGAAGCTAAGACCACTAGGTCAGTTAAAGTATTCCATCCAAACCCCACTGTGAATTATATTGCTGATTTTAAATGAGTTTCTACCCAGGCTGTTCAAGCACATGTTTCTTTCAGATCTTTGGCATCTCTGATTTTATTGTACCTTCAGGAATTAGGAAAATCTAGCTGAGTCCTTTAGTTTTATGTTTCCTCTCTATAAGTAGCCTCTACAATAAATACCAAAGCTTAAAGATTAATAAATCCCTCCATATACAACAAGATTTGTGACAGAAAACTGCAGTATTTTTTGCTAATTATTACAAATGACAATTGAAAATACCCACTTCTGGCTTTGCTCTTTTCATGACTATAAACGCCACTAGCAGAGGCATGCATCTTTTTGGTTAGCTTCATAATCTTTGATTTGTCTTCTTCAATTCTGAGAAAATAAGCACCGAGGGGGGTCTGGTTTACATTACTGGGAGAAGAAGATGGCTCTAATCTGCAATCTTCTATTTTGTTTCTATTGTTCAAACACCAATTTCAATTTTAACTTGCCTGTTGTCCCTTTTCTCTTGGTACAAAGCTGTTTTGATTACAGGAGGGTGGAGGTGGTGGGAGTGAGGTGATGTCAGTGGTGATGGTGGTGGTGTTGTATATGTGCCTGTGTGTGTGTGTTTGTGTGTGTGTGTGTGTGTGTGTGTGTATAAAGGAGCTGGGCTGGTAGAGGAATGGGAGGCAGAATACATAAGCTGTATTTGTTAATCTGCTTATAAACCTAACAGATTTTTCAGCTGAAATTTGGCCAGTGTTAATTGTACACACTGAATTCATGCTGGGAAAATCTCTTTGGAAAAAAAAAAAAAGAGAGACAGAGAGCACAGCCGGCCTGTTATGTAAGATGTTTATTTTCATCCAATCCAACCCACCATAGGCAGTACAGAAAATAGGCCAGTGCTTCTGACCGGTGACATCACCTCATCATCAGGAGAAAGCGGGAATGGCTGATCACCATATTGTTAGTAAAGAGGATAATTTCCTTTCACAATTGTTTTTCTTTTGGAAACCTTTATTTCTGGAGATAGTGATCTCATCCCCGTGGGATGTTTATTTCTTCAGATTCTGTAATAACAGTGAAGCTACCTGGATTTCAGCTCTTATAGAATGCACATAAACACTTATTTTGGTACTTTTTCTCTAGGTCTCTAAACTTTAAAAGATTGGGTCATTTTAGCAGAACATTGACCATCCTAAGAAAATTGTGACGGGAAGAGGAATAATTATTCTGATATTTAACCTTATGAAGTATTTTATGTAGCGTTTGGTCATTTGCTTTGCAGAATGCCTCCTTTTCTCAGGCTGTTTCACACTATATTTGGGTAGATGGGCATTGTGTTTATTTTATGAATACTAAGAATGAAATGCACAGTTTTTAGAAACTGTTTTAAGCAGGTTATTATCTGTGCTACAATATAGACATTTTTGCAATGTGTAAGTAGTAAAGTGGGTGAAATTTTGTAGGTGTGTGCATGTAGCTTTTTTTCTCATTCAAAATTAATAGTAAACTAAAAATAGGGTCTTTATTATAGAAGCTAATTCAGCTACTTAGAAAATATACCACAATAAAATTAACCAGTCTATGGTTTGTTTATGACAGATTTGGTTAAATGACTTCTTTCCGTTAAGGGACCATTTTCAGGATTACTCAAATTCACCCAGTTTTTAAAATAAATAATTTGCCTACTCTTGCTTCATTCTCCCTCTAGAGGACATCGGTGAGTATTACAATTCAAACATTAAATATGCCAGTAGGTCTAATTTAAATACAGCACGATCCTGAGAACAGTTCCTTGACTTCATTTGTATTCAGCTTAACTCGGTTCTAGAAGCCATTATCTTAAGTAGCTCCAAGTTTGCAGCACTTTTTTCCTTTAAGCCAAGGTGTCAATATCTTAAGGGGGTCATTTTTGTTTTGTTTTGTTTTTGTTTTTTTTAAACAGCAAAATCAAAATCTTAACCCTGGTGAAGAGCAGTACTGAAAAAGTTAGAGTTTCAGTTTCTAATACAATGAGTGGTGTGTATTTGTGACTCAAAGTCTGATTAGCATGTTCTGGGATATTCACATTACGTCTGCTAGGCAGCCTTTGAGGACACTGGAGGCCATTTAATGTTGTATAAATTAAGTATCACAATAAAAACTGGTCCAGTAACCTGCAGATACGACAGTCAAATATTAGAATTGGTACAAACATATTCATAGACATTCACCTGAAGATGAGCATAGGAAAGGGCTCCTTATCCTGCTTTCAAGAGACATGGTTTGATTTGCAAAAGCTGCCTAATCATTCAGAGCCTATTTTCTCTATCAGCAAATAGGAATAATTATATCACCTTCTAGTAGTATGAAGACCAGAAAAAATCTAGAAAATGCCTAATGTGTGATTGACTTGGAGTAAATTATATTCTTTTCCATTGTTATAA